TTTCCAGAGACCAAGAGACAAAGAGAGGGCTTTGGGTACAAAAGGTTGAGTTTAAACAGACCCAGGAGCTTCATTTTGATTCAGTGAAGGGCCAGGCCCTTCTGTCCACGGGGAGGTCCCAACCCTTGTTGAAGAGGTGGAAGGGACATTGGCCTACTGCAAAAGATGAGCAATTCCTGGTACATTTAGTGCGCATTTAAACCCTTTTATTGTTTTATATGTTTTCTCTGTGATGCTTTTGCCCTAAGAATAAATGTACTTTGCTTTGGAAGAGCTGTGTGGTCACTGTTGGTCTCAGAGAGAAAGCAACGCACAGGTGCTGGCTTATAGGGTAGACTGGCTCACTGGGGGTATCACAGTACATGGCAGGAGGCTGTGAAGACTTAAAATGCATGGTTAGAAAGGAGCCACTCTGTCCCTGCCCAAAGACACCATATCTGGGGGCCTGACGCCAGACTTGAGACTGTTGGAGTGGACCATGGAGAGGGAACAAGGGTGCAGTTACCCTGAAACTGTGACAATGCTGTTTGTGTTGCTTTGTTGTGGGTTGTCCGGTTACTACTGCAGGTTCATAGTGTTGTAACTGTGACATCCCATGACAGAAATGCTGGGCTATAGAGCAGAGGTTCTCAATTTTATCCACGTGGGACTCAAAGGCCACCTGGGATTCCTTGATGCAACCCACCCACTCCTACAGTCCTTTGTGGAGCCGTGGAAAAGCAACATGGCTGTGTCTGAGAGGACTGTCTTTAGGGGTGAGAAGATATTTTGGACTCGATAGCCTAGTCAGTCCTGGACCTCTGCTATATGACTCTCGGGAAATTCTGAGTCAGCCAGAATTCACTCTGGGGTATGTCTACACAGCAAAGAAAAAACTCTGGCTGGCCTGCACCAGCGGACTCTGGCTTGGGCTGTTTCATTGCCGTGTAGACTTCCGGGCTCTGGGACCCACCCACCTCGTAGAGTCCTAGAGTGGGGGCTCCAGCCCTGAGCCCACACGTCTACACAGCAATGAAACAGCTCCGCAAGCCTGATTCGGCTGGCACAGGCCAGCCACTGGTGTCTGGTTGCTGTGTAAACATACCCTTGGAGGCCCAGCTACAGGGTAATTCCTGCAACGCACCATCTACCCAGCCCAGCCCTTTATGGTCTTCTCCTTTAAGCAGCCAGCACACACAATATTTGGCTTCCCCTGCCATTTATCCAAGGGTGTTTTTAATTTTTCATAATACTTTGCTGGTTAAGAACATCTGAACAAACATCTGCTGCAAGGCTTGTGGTGTGGTGTGTGTGTGTGTGTGTGTGTGTGTTGGGCGGAGCGGGGGGGGAGAGAGGGAGGTGAGCCAGCCTTCAATAAGTGGTCAGAGAATCCATGCTCATGTTGCTGAAGGGGAAGAGTGAGGTTAAAATGTTTTACATTTCTGGGGCCGAATGTTGCCAGAAACTGTCTCAGTTTCTGCAAAGCGGCCCTACGTCTCCTGCTGATGCCTCAGAATTCCCCATGCTATGGAAAAGAAAGAGGAGCATGTTCTCAATCAAAGAAAGAGGCTATCACTTTACAGACTGAAGCCTCCCTGCCAACTTGGCTTAGCACTGAAAAGAACAAAGAGCGACCCCAGGCCCTCAAAAAGTCTCTTCTGAAAAAGTATGCTTGCAAGGAGGAGGCTGGGGATGGCCGTCCCCGTCAAGGCGGGTTGCTGCTCGTCAGCCACCCAAAGACCTCAGGGTGGTTTGGCTGCAGGCCGGGACCAAAGCACCCATAGTGTAGGAGAGACTAAAGTGTGAGCACGTGGTCCCTGTTCCTCTTTGGTTGGTGGCCCTGCAGAAGAGGAGATTGAGCACTGGAGACTCATGTTCCCCATGGGCTGCTAGGTTTAGCCCTCAACACCCCGAGGGTTTGTGGGTTTCTCTTCTAGTGGCTGCAGGCTAGAGATTAGAGCGGGTTGGGAATTTTTTACAGAAACGATTACTCCATCGGAGAGTGTCAAATTTGTCAAAACTGCGACTTTTTGCAAAAATGTATCAGTGTCAACAGAAATGTCAGGAAGGATCCTCAGGTCCAGGGTAGAATCTCTGGTCTGCCCCGTTATAGCCAATAGCCCAGAACCTGGGTTCCCACAGCTCAGCTGAAGTTCCGAACCTAACCCAGGTTCAAGACCTTGCTCTGAATCAGGGAGGGCGTGCTCACTGCTGGGCTAGTGTCTCTCACAGGGCGGGGCTTTCATTGTGGTTTCATGAACATTTTCATCAGGGCTAGACTCGTTCTGATGTGGAAACAAAACCAAACGGGGCCATGTTGACATTTTTCAGAAGACAGAATTCTTGTTTCCCCTACAAGAGATGGGCCTGCAGTGAAACCCTGCCCCTGAGCAGACCTGAAGCTACGTGTTGTAGCTTGGGCCCTTCTCTAAGCAAGGCTAGTCAACCAGCCAGACCCTAGCCCCGGCAGCGGTACTGCTCTCCTCCTCTCCCTAACCTTCGCCACAACCTCCCGCAGCTTCTCACACAGGAGGTAGAGCCTCATGCTTCCTCCTCGCCTGAGAGCACTGGTCACTGCATAGAGCAACGAGAAGACCCCTGCCAGAGCTTCAGCGAGCCACTGCTCCCCATGCAGCCAGCCTCCCCCATTTAGCTTCTCCACAGGCTGAGGGAGGAGAAGGGTCAGAGAGTACAGCTTGGAAGGGAGAGGTACCTGGCATGGCAGATCTGTGCAGGCTAAAGCCCTGACCTGGCTCTACCTCCCTTCTTCCCTGCACAGCGCCCCTGAGTGGTTGCCCAAACACAGGAAATTTGGCCCAGATCCTCAAAGGTATTTAGGCTCCTAACTGCCAAAGGCTTTTGAGGATCTGGGCTTTAGTCTGTACCCAGACCATGAGTATAAGTGCTGGAATAACAAGACAGACAACGGTGATACGTCACCTACCATGTAATGTAGACAGAGCGAATCATGAAACCCAGTTAATGGGGACAGACCTCAGATGACCCGCTTATGCCCGGGGAGAGGAAGAATAGGCTCAGATTACAGTGCAGGGCTAGGAGACCAGCGTTTTGTTCCTAGCTCTGTCAGGGCCTGGGGCAAGTCACTCAGCATGGGCTGCTGTGAGTCACCAAAGCTGTCCCGGGGATCCCTGTGGAGTTTACGCTCCACAATGACTGCGGAAGGTGTGACTAGCGATCATCAGGAAGGGCACTTAATCCAAACAACAGGCCAGCCCCTGGGCCACCCCAGGCAAGCAACTCCCATGATATCTTGCTCCAGCCACATCCTATTCTTTTAGCAAGCCCAGGAACTCCTGTGACCCAGACAGGGGTCCCCGTTTGCCTTCCAGGGGAAAAGGGGAGCGGGAGGATTCAATGGCTGGGAAAGAGGGAGGAGGGCGTGAGGACTTGTGGGAGGAAGGGTTAGTGGGTGGGTTGACCAGCAAGGGGGGAATTCAGAGCAGAATGCTTGTGAGAGGGTTTGGAGTAGGTTCAGCAGGTGGAAAGGAGCATTGAGGCAGGTGTGGGTTGTAGGAAGGTTAAAGAGGTCACTGAACAGACAATAATACTCATCCTCAGTATTAAGAGCAGACTTAGTATCTATCTAATTTATCTAGCCATCCATCCATCCCCATACACACCTCTATATCTACCCCATACACACACTTTATCTCTATCTATCTATCTATCTATCTATCTATCTATCTATCCCCTCCCCTGCCTACACACATTTCTCTCTCTCCATCCTCTCTTCTGTGGATTATGCAGTGGAGAACCTCAGGTATCCACAGATCAGAAAGAATTTCAAGAAGCAGATGGTACCAAAGCTCATGGACTACTGAACCAGGGAGCATGACCTCACACTAATAAACACATGGGCCTGGGCACTGCAGGCTTTTGCATGCAACGGAATAGCTCTGTGCACAAACCGATGGGTTTGTGGGTTTTGCTGCCCAGCACAATGTGTGTTAATAGCTTTAAAAAGGACTGAGTGGAAAAAAATCTTGCAGGGCACAAATGCCACCTCATCACCACGATACAGACCTTGATGGGTTTCCGGGCCTCTTCCCATCCTCAGCATTTCTAATCCCTAACCCAGCCCCGCCCTGGTTAGTTAAGAACCTCGTTATTAACATTAGAATTCCTTAGCCTGCCGTAGAAGAGAAAGACATTGATTCCATTTTGGGGACTCCTTGTTTGCGTTGTTTAAAAGAATGCAAGAAACAATGCCGGTGCAAACTCCCTGCACACACACACAAAGGCCACAACCACATGAGGTTAATTGTGCTAGGTGCTGTACAAACATATAATCAGTAACTGTCCTTGCCCCAAAGGGCTCAGAAACACAATGGCTGGCAGAGAAAACACTAGTGAAAGCTGTACTCGTTCCAAATAACAGTGTCATGCTAAAACAAACACCGTGGTTCACTCGCAAGTAATAGTGGGTGTAAAATATTGTCTTTGGGAAAGAAAAGTTACCTTGAGAATAGTCCCTAGATCTTTCTAGTGCTTTTCATCTGTAAATCTCAGAGTGCTTTACAAAAGAGGTCAGGGTCATTATCCCCATTTTACAGATGGGGAACTGAGGCAAAGAGCAGTGAATAGTGAAATCATTTAGTCAGCGCCTAGCTTTGGGCATTATGGGCCAGATTTTCAGTGCTGAATGAGTAATCTAAATAAGTGGCCATATTTTCACATTTTGATTTCCATCCATCCGAGTTAAAATGGGACATATTTTCAATTTTTTAATAAAACAATCCTTGATCAGAAACAGAGCAGAGAAAGGTGCTGGGTTGACAGTGGCAGGGCCCTATTTTCCTCACCCTATTTCACATTGACCCTCTCTACACAGAGGGTTTCCACAGGCCCATTGGAAGTGCCAGACTGGATCACACCAGGGGTCGACCTAGCCAAGTAGCCTTTCTCCAGCAGTGGCCAGCACCATATGTCAGAGATCGCAATCCCTGAGGTACATCAGCAGAGGGACTAAACTGTGACTTTTTTTTCTTGCTCTCTTTCAGCTTGAATTCACGCCCGATCAGATTGAAGGTGAGGAGGATTTGCTTCTCTTTCCAGGCGGTGGCAGTGGGTGGAATGAACACAGCCTCTGGAGCTTATAATTAACTTGACAAAGAAGATACTTAATTAACAGCTTTGCTATTTGCTATTTGGTATGGTCGCACCTGGTGGCCTCAACTGAGATTGGGGCCCTACTGCGCTAGGTCCTGTACAAACGCATAGAAAAGGACAATCCCTGTCCCTTTGGGATAAATAGACAAGACAGACAATGGGGGCTGGGGGAAGGAACAGATGAGCTAATGACTTGCCCAAGGTCACTCAGCAGGACAGAGTGGGGACTAGAACCCCCGTATCTCCAGTTCCCAGCCAGTGCCTTAGTCACTGAACAAACTGTCATATCACCCCAGCTTTCTACCCCATAATGCCAGCAGTCCACTGGGGTAATTCCATGGCAACAGATAAATGCTCTGGTCAGGGCAAGTTCTCTCTAAAGGCAGGGGCACAAAACCTAACAGTGAGAGCGTATTCCAATGTGAGTAAAAGGCACATCACAACTGTGTTTTTTCTCTGGGCTTAAGCAAAATAGGGTTGTCCCTAATTTCATGTCTGGAGCCAGATCCTCGGCTGGTGTAAACTGAGGTAGTTTCAGTTATTTCAGCTAGCGTTAGTCCTTTCAGTGGTCATGTTTCTTTGGGCTTGTCTACACTACAGAGCCTTTGCCGGTATAGCTATGCCTGCTGAGCGCCCTAGTGGAGATGCAGTGTAAACCAACAGACGTACTGGCATGGCTACACCACCTCCCCATACAACTTTAGCACTTTGCCGCCATAGATTCATAGATTCCAAGGCCAGAGGAGAGCACTGTGATCATCTTAGTCTGGTCACCTGTACAACACAGGCCGTAGAATTTCCCCAAAATAATTCTTAGAGTAAATCCTTTAGGAAAACATCCAAACTTCATTTTAAAATAGTCAGTGATGGAGAATCCACCATACAATCATAGAATAGAATCATAGGACTGGAAAGAATCTTGAGAGGTCATCTAGTCAAGTCCCCGGCACTCATGGCAGGACCCTTGACTCTTGGTAAATTGCTCCAATGGTTAATTACTCCCATTGATAAAAATGTATGCCTTACTTCCTGTTTGAATCTGTCTAGCTTCAACTTCCAGCCATGGGATTGTGTTAGACCTTTCTCTGCTAGACTGAATAGTTGTTCCCCATCTAGGCATTTATAGACTGTAATCAAGTCACCCTTTATCCTTCCGTTTGTTAAGGTAAATTGAGCTTCTTGAATCTATCACTATAAGGCATGTGTTTCATCCTTTAATCATTCTCATGGCTTTTCTCTGAACTCCCTCCAATTAATCAACCTCCTTCTTGAATTATGGGCACCAGAACTGGACACAGGATTCCAGCACTGGTTGCACCAGGGCCAAATACAGAGGTAAAATAACCTCTTCTCTCCTACTTGAGATTCCCCAGCTTATGCATCCCAGAATTAAATTAGCTGTTTTGGCCAGAGTGGGTATGTCTATGCTGCAATTAAAAACCCATGGCTGGCCCATACCCAGCTGACTCGGGCTTGCAGGACTGACACTAGGGAGCTGTTTAATTGTGGTGTAGATGTTCAACTCGGGCTGGAGCCCTGGCTCTAGGACCCTGCAAGGTGGGAAGGTCCCAAAGTTCAGGCTGCAGTCCAAGCTACACATCTACACTGCAGTTAAACAGCCCCTTAGCCAAGCCCCTTATACCGAATCAGCTGGCACAGGCCAGCGGCGGGTGTCTAATAGCAGCGTAGACACACCCTCAGTCACACTTGATGCTCATGTTCAGCTGACTATCCACCATGTCCTCCAAAACTTTGTCAGTCACTGCTTCCCAGGACAGAGCCCCTACATCCTGTAGGTATGGCCTAGTTGCGTCTACACAAGGGGTTTTGCCAGCATAGCTGTGTCGGCTGGGCTGTCTGTGATTTTTTTCACACTCCTTGCTGACATAGCTGTGCTGTCATAATTTTGTAGTGTATACGAGGCCTATGTACCAAACAATCGTTGAAATGTCCCTCTCTTCTTTTTCTCTTTCTTACTTTGATGGCTAATTTTGTTTGGGTCCAGATCCTTCCACAGCAGTTCCCTAGCTGTGTGTATGCACGGTGTCTAGCACATCAGTCTCTTGCTACGTGGTGGGGAAAGTAGTGGTCTATGTCAGAAGCAATTTACAACATCTCTCTGCAAGGAGAAAAGGCAGAGCCAAGGCTCCACCAGTGCCCCCCGCCCCCAGTTCTGGGCATGGAGTAAGCTGGTGCATAGTACCTCCTGGCCCCTGTGCTGCTGGACCCAAGATCTGGGCAGACCCTGCAGGGATGCAAGAGAGACTGAATTCCTTGGGCAAGTCACCATCTAGCATGTAAAGCAGGGGGTGAGGTGGGACCCCTGGCGGAGTCTGGAGAAGTGATCATTGATGGTACTTGGTCATATGGTTGGCCTGGTGACGCTTGGTCACACCGAGATGCTGCAGAGGGGAACAGAGACTTTCCACACGAATGTTCCTTCAGAACAGTAAGTGGGGTTTTTTAGTTCCATTGTTTGTCCCTTTGGATGAGGTGTATCTCCTGACCCTTACCCACCTGGTGAGCACAGCTTGTTTATCTCACAATGACCAACGCTTTCTTTCTTATAAGCTACACACATCTCCTCCTCGATCTCACAGCACTTGATCCCTGAGCCGTGTCTGCCCTGTTCTTACCATGCCTGCCATGGAGACATGCTGCACAATACACTGAGGGGAAGGGCACTTTAATTTACTCCTTGATGAAATTAAGACACGTTCCCAAATGGCTCTGTGGTGCTCGGCAGAGGGTTGAAAATCATACGTCGTTCAGATTACAGACATGCAAAGCAGATTTATTACATTAAGGAAAACACAAACGCCCCAATGAGAAAGAATAAAATCACTCAATGTAACCATATGTCCTTTCTTTAAAAAAAACCAAAAAACAGCCCTTCTTTGCCTTTGAAAACTTTTCCCTGAGTTAAATTGGAATTTAATCTGTTGCAGCTACATAATGGAACTCAGAGCATTTATTTTATTTTAATTTATTTCATTTGAAGGAAAAACATCAAGCTCAATTTCCTAGCCGGCCACCCCGGTCCCAGAAACTGAGACGGAAGCCGATCTCATGTAGTGCTGCAAATACCACATGATGTAGCTGGCTGCCTGTAGCTTGGCACCCAATGTAGGATTTGTTTAGACATAATTGATGCTTTGTGGTTGAACGTCTGATGGGGTTTTTAACAGGTTCTCAAATGTTTGAAAGGTAGAGCTGACAAGCTGGTTATCAGCACAGCGGAAAACTCCCCTATGGGTATGGGACCACAGGCTGATTGAAGGGAAGGAGGATGGGTTTCTTACTTTCAAGGGTTTTTCTGATCCAGGATGTACTGGATTCATGCCTTTTGTCTTGAGCCATAGGTTCTGCCACTGATATACTGCAAGACTTGGGAAAGTAATTTCACCACCCTGTGCCTCAGTTTCCCTTCTGACAATAATAGATCATTTAAAAAAAATGACTAGAGATTCCGTGTGTGTCCATTTCTGGGGCCCAGACTGTGTGGCCTGACACACAGAGCCACTTTGCTCCCAATGAGATGCTGCACTGAAGCACATCCCAGAGAGCTTTCCACAAAGGGTAAGAGAAACGCCCCATGTCTTAGGCAACAGTTCCCATCTCATTGAACACAGCTACTGGCATCCAAGGTTGTGTGTGAGCAAATGCTGAGCTCACAGGGCTACATTCTGAGCTGCAAGCCAGCCCCCTTGCACCATTTCAGTGGCACAAAGGGGTTGGAAAACAGCTGGATTGCCCCTAAAAGGTGATTCTCCTAAGGCTGGAGAGTCCCTTTCTGGCTCCTATGCTCTGTCCCCTCCCACTGCCCCATTGGCCCTTGGTATAGGAGATATGTAGGGGAGGGTAGAGGAGAGGGCATGGCTGGAGCACTACTGTACTCTGCTGACTTTCAGCCAGGAGAGAACCTCTGGAGACCACAGATATATGGTGTATTTTGGAGCAGCCCTAAGGCTGCTCTAAAGTGCAGCAGGTCCAGGGCTGGTATAGACCATCCCTCGAATCAGGGAGCCATGCCCATCTCCTTCGACCACAGGCTACCAGACAGAGCTGAGAATCCAGGTTTGCCATATTATCTAGTGACAATCTCAAAGTGGAACCCGCAGGCAGGGACCACGTCAGCCTTTGTGTCCATGAAGCGCAACACACCGCTCCCGCACTGCATCAGCACCAGTGGGAGTTACTGAGGGGAGGAAAAACACTACAGGGCACCAAATCCCAGCCCATGCCAACTCCACTCTGCTCTATTGACGCTTCCACATACCATGGTGTGGGTGCTGTGAGGGTAGTGCCGGCAGAAGCACCGGTCAGTAAAGGCATCACGTACTGAATGAGCTAAAAATACTGCCCGCCCATCCGGTCCTTGGTGCAATTCCTTCCTGACCCTCATTGTGGACTGGAGCCCTGAAGTTATTGGCAGTGGGTGTCTTTCCATTGATTTCAATGAGCTGTAGATCAAGCCCTGATCTTTCCCTGCTGCCTTCTGGGCTCAACCTAGGAGTTTCATCAAAGGAGATGCCTGGCCCCTTTTCCCTTTGTGTAAGGAGTCAGCTGCAGCAAAAAACTGATGAGAGCAATCTAGTCTGTTTGATTCTGCAACAGGCAGAGGAAGATGGAGTGGAGGCGTTCGAGTGAGTTTCCCACCCGTGGAGTGGAGCATGGTTACTGCCACTCATCCTGCTACTACAGGGAGAGGAGAGACCAGAGAGATGGGGTGGGGAAGAGCCCCAAAATGAAGAGTGCCCAGGAAGGAGGAGAAATACAGAGACGAGGAAACAGAGAGAGGCCTGTCCCATTGCTGTTTGGTCTGGACAGTTTAAGATGATGGGTAGATTACGGGAACTTCAGCAATGTCTCCGAGAGGGTGTTTCAGTGGAAGTTCCCAAATCGCAGCATTGCCGAGGGGGCTAATGGAATCAGAGCAGACCTGCTTTCCCACAGTGCAACAGCCCTTTCCCTCCCGCCTGCCTCCAAGCAATGCACGGCAGCATCAGGCCAAGGTCTGCGTTGGAACTCAAAGCCACAGCTCTGTGAGCGCCACTGAATGAGCTAGACGGAGATCGGAGCTCCTGCTGACAAGGACTTTCGAATCGTTAAGGACAGGCCAAAGCAAACGAGAGAGAAACACTGCGAGTAAAACCCGGTGTGTTTTTTCAGCTGCAGTCAGGCAAGAGCCGCCACAATGGCAGGCCAGAGCCGCCACTTTCACCTTCAGCCCACGGTGATGGAAGGGCCATGATCTTCGGACAGGTTCGCAGCAAATGGCGTGGTAATAACCAGCCAGGCTGGGGAGAACCTCATTCTTGGCAGCAACGGGTGGAGGAAACAGACCGATTGCACCGTGTCTAGTGTTGAATCTGGCCAGGCTTCTATCTCCAAGTTTGTCTCTTTCCACGTCTGCTTTCCAGAGGCATCAATTTGTTTCACTCCAGGCGGTACGATAAAAGGGCATTTTGTTTTCTATCTCAAAGGCCATGAATTTTTCAGAGGCCGGGATGTCTAAGTGGTCAGAGCACAGAAGGAGCCTCTTTCTGTCCCTGGCAAACCATCAAAGTGAAGGAGCTTAGCCAAGCCCAGTCTATGGTTCTTGTTCCTAGACAACCAGCCTTCAGTGCCCTGAGTGGTCCCTGATCGAGTTCTATGATTCTCAGACTGTGGTCTGGGTGTGTCACTGCGGGTGAAGAGATGTGATTGTAGCCTCCAGCAGTCAGCAGGCTTTGAATCTAGCACCTTTAGCATGGACCTCCACTGCTGGAACTGAAGGAGTAACTCTTTTAGCTGGCAGCAGTAGCAGGCTGTTATCCTCAGCATGGTGCAGCCACTGGAGGGGGACAGAACCCACACTTTATAAGCATATCCCAGGATCATATCGCCGTCTAGTGTGTGGCCTCCATAAGTAGAACAACCTGCTACTTACACCTAAGAGAGTTTGCCATTCGCCTGGGAGATGGGTGCAGAAAGAGCTGGGTTCAATCCGCATTGACAGCTTATTGAGCCTGTATGTATGTCACCCTGGTTTGTTACAGACGAGCCACTGGAGGGTCACAAAATAAATGGTTTTGAAAGCCACGCACACGTGGGTTGGGGTGGTAAAGGAGAAGCGAGTCCAAGAAAGGATGGTTCTCTGGTGAAGTGGGCTGCTTCTTGGGAAACTGATTTGGTGTTAAGTTATTGGGCCAGATTCTCATTTACACTAAGGCTCCGGTGGAAAGGTTCATTTACATCCACATCAAGGTCCCTTTACACTGGCAAAGCATGTAAAGGGGCCGTTGGGTGAATCAGGCCCAACAAGCTAGCAGTCAGTTAATAATGAGGACAGACAAATCTAGAAAATCCCCAGCTGCTGGAGATGGGACACTAGCGGGGAAGGCTCTGAGTAACTTCAGAGAATTCTTTTCCAGGTGTCTGGCTGGTGGGTCTTGCCCATATGCTCAGGGTCTAACTGATCCCCATATTTGGGGTCAGGAAGGAATTTCCCCCCATGTCAAACTGGCTGAGACTCGGGTGGGCAGGGGGGTTTGTCTTCATCTGAACATGGGGCATGAGTCACTTGCAGGTTTAAGCTAGTGTAAATGGTGAATTCTCTGTAACTGAGGTCTTTAAACCACACTTTGAGGACTGCAGTAACTCAACCAGAGGTTAGGGGTCAATTACAGGACTGGGTGGGTGAGGTTCTGTGGCTTGCAACGTGCAGGAGGTCAGACTAGATAATCGTGATGGTCCCTTCTGACCTTAAAGTCTATGAGTCTATGAGAAAGATCCTCTAACCCTTCAATCCATGCCCCAGATCCAGGTTCCAGCTCTGATCGCTTGTGGAGACTTTCCACCTTTGTACGCCAACAAATACAGTCACCAGAAATGTGTCTCATGTCAGGAGAAGTAAATGTTGCCAAAGAATTGGTTTTATACCCACCTCGCAAACCTTGTGCTTGGATGCATCATCAAGCAGGTACTTCCCATCACAGACTTGTCCTAATTCCATCTCTCCTTCACCTCCTAGCGCTCTGTGGACTATGGGTCAGAGGATGAGCCCCTGAAGCTGGTGAGCAGTTGTTCACACGGGCAGTCTCACTGGAGTCCATGCTCACCAACCTCTAGGCTCCAGTCCCACCACCAGTGGGGGGCTCAATGCAGGAATGAGGTTCTCTGGCCTGTGTGATGCAGGACCCCAGGCTGGATTATCACAATTGTCACTCTAGCTTTAACAGCTACACATTACTGAATCTGGCCCTTCATATTGCAGTTATTCCGCTCCTGTCTGCCTTTCTCTCCCCAGTCTGCATGTCATGGGAGTCTGGTGAGACTAGATTTCCTTAGCCCTCCCTGGATCCTGTTTCATTCACTTATTCATTAGTTTGCATTCAGAATTTTGCTCACTTCTCCTCTCATTTTTTATCATCTCTCTCCTTCATTTCCATTTTTTCATTCTTTCCACTGGCATCTCCTGGCAGCTTTCTCTTTCTTTCCCTGTTAGTCCCTTCCTTCTCCACTCTCCTTTTTCCTCCTGCAGCACTTTGCTTGTTTCTACCCCCCTGCTCTTTTCTTCCACTGCTTCTTTCTGCATCCCCTCTCTCTCTTCCTAGATATGCACAGTCTCTCTGTCTCTCCCTGTCACTCTGTTTTTCTTCTTACTCTCTCTCTCTCTCTTTCCCTCTCCTGGGCGTTGTCCCCATAGTCAGGGCAGACACCAGATCCCCTGGGATTATTTGCTACAGCATGGGGCTCATCTCATGGTACCCTTGCTGATGGCTGGACAGAGAACACCATAGTGCGTGGTATTCAAATTTGCTCAATTTCCAGCTGTTCTCTTGGGATTCGGGGCAGCAGGGAAATCCACCTATCTATCTTAGATGCTTAACCTCTCACCGTGCCGTGGAAGCCCCAAGAAAGCTTAAGGGCAGGCCTGAACTTGATTTGAAACTGGGCCTCTTGCAGCATCTTGTAATAGGACATGCTGCACCATAGTCACCTACAGCTCGGGTGGTTCTTTATAGTAATGAAAGTGTGCTCTCATGAGAGCACAGGGTCTATGGCTTTGGGGGATCGCTTGTGGCCATATACAAAAGCATCCCTCTTTCTGAGCTCAATGGCTCGCACAGTTGTACTCAGAGCAGTGAAACCGGGGATGCTCGTCCCTCCTCATTTCTTAAGTTAGCCATTAAACCACTTGCAGGCTTAGTGGATATATTATTATGACTAATTGCTACCTACATTCTCAGCTTGAATAGCTTGTGTTCTTCTCCTCCGTCCAGCCATTAAGGAATCTGGTCCCAAAGAGACCAGAAATACACCGTCCAATACATACCCATTGCCAATGCCAGTTCAATCCATTCCCAGCCCAACCAGGAGAACATGGGACAATGGGCGTATTACACATCATTGACTGCCTGGGCCTTTCTTTCCAATTTGAAATAACAGATTTGGATGGTAACTTGGCACTGACCGCGGGCGTGAGGTTATGTATTTATTGCTGCACTTCAAGGTCTTCACATTTACAGCAAAGCAAGGGTCACACAGGAACAGCGAAACAGGAAGTTTGACAGTTCTAGTGTTGCAAAGTCACTTCCTCATCACAGAGCAGAACATTTCAAATCCACCCGCCAATAATGTCTATCATTCTTGAAAACGTTTTGTGGTGTAAGTTATTGGCTGATTTTCAAGCTGTCCCAACAGCAGCTAGAGTAGCCTAGGGGCTGCTTTTGATTATGACAACTGCTTACAACCCCTAAGAGACCATATGCCAACTGTGCATTGAAGTAGCGGAGAGTGGAGCTCTGTTCTGCTACCCCCTGCATGCCCACTGCCTGCCTCTGCCTGTCCCTGACACACAGCATAGGTGACCTGTTGGTACAGGAACCAGCTCCTACCATCTTTACACTACAGCCAAATTCTGGCTCCACTGTGCTACTCAGCTACTCCTTTGTGCCGCTCAGAATCTAGCCCTTAACTTTTAAGGCCTAAAAGACTTTCTGATTCCCAGGGCTTTCAAATAGCAACACCAATCCTCCCTGTTCTGCCGTTGCTTCATCAGATTGCCAAGAGGGAAGCTTCCTAGTCGGTTGCTAACCACTATTACATTGTTCGTCTTTAGCAGTCAATTATTCTCACTATATAGTTCCCTTAGGTTGAATTCGTTCAATCGTCATTCAGTCATTATGTTCAATGGGCTTTTATCTGAGCAAAGACTGTACAGTTAGGCCATTACATTAGCCTGTCTTTACTGACAATACCTCTTGAAGGGGTGAAAGGGCTGTATTATAATTAGTCACCTCAAGTGTCAGAGGTAGGGTTCACCCTGGATAAGCACCCCAACGTCTTGGGGGTTGATCCCCACACTGGCAGTGTGTGTCAAGTGAGCATCCACTACAAGAGAACAGCCCGCAAATGCTACCAGCCAGTAGAGATGCCCCTTTAACTCAAATGGAATAGGAAGCTCCTGTATTGTAAAACCCTACGGATGACTCATGCAGGGGATTGTTACACAAGCAATTAACATGTAGAGCTGCTATTGAAGCCAATGAGAGTTCTGGGCCATGGAGCGCACTCTCACTGGTGTGCATAGCTCTCAAGGTCTGGCTTTCCCATGAGCTTTCCTGTATTTCCCCTGAGTCGGAAATACCACAAGAAGAACCGTTTGACCTGTTTAATTCCATTCCCGGCTGGAAGCAGGAAGTGTGGTGGAGGAGGAATGTAAACATGTCAGAGAACAACAATGTTAATGAACTCTTCCAAATTGCAAACCAAAAGGTTCAGGGTCAGGTTGAGTGAGAGTTTGGGGGGAAGGTTCAGACAGGCTGTTACTTTATCTCTCTCTGTGTTTTTCTCTTTGTGTCTCCCAGAATTTAAGGAAGCCTTCTCGCTCTTCGACAGAACTCCTAGCTCTGAGATGAAGATCACATATGCGCAGTGTGGAGATGTTCTGAGGGCTTTGGGGCAGAATCCAACCCAAGTGGAGGTCCACAAAGTCCTTGGCAGACCCAAACCAGAAGGTCAGTGACCCTCTTTCTGTTTGTTTTCGGTGAGAGATCTCCAGGAGTAAATTGTCAGGCCAATTGGATCGTGTCTCCCTCGGTTGGTGGAAAGATTGATTGAGGTTAACATAACAACTTGGAGCAGCCTCCTCTGGGGTTCCAAGTCAATCAGGGGCAATGAGAAGAGATGGTCGTTGTGGTCAAGGCACTTGAGTGGAATCTGGGGTCTCTGATCTCAATTCCTAGCTCTACTATGCATTCCCTGGGCAAGACACTTAGGGCTGAATGCTCAAAAGGAATTTGGTGTTGTGATGATGAGTGTCACAACAACTAACTTCTAGGTGCCTGGAAAAATCACAGTGATTCTCAAAGCCTGAGTTAGGCACCTAAGCTCTTACACATGAATGGGGAGACATAGGTACCTTACATTTTTCAGAGTAGCAGCCATGTTAGTCTGTATCCGCAAAAAGAACAGGAGTACTTGTGGCACCTTAGAGACTGACAAATTTATTTGAGCATAAGCTTTCGTGGGCTACAGCCCACTTCATCAGATGCATAGATTGGAACATATAGTAAGAAGATACATATATATACATACATACAGAGAACATGAAAAGGTGGAAGTTGCCATATCAACTCTAAGAGGCTAATTAATTAACCTTACATTGTGATTCACCAAAGCCACCACACAAGGCAGGCAGCCGCCTAAGCTAGCCATTGGGAGATGCTGGCCAGAGGGGTGTGTCCCCTCTCACAGAGATAGTCACTTGAGTTCCAGCTGCAGGGAGGCACCTAGTTCTGCTTGTGATTCTGAAGCCGGAAACCCTCCTTGGAGTTAGGTGCCTCATGCCATTTTAGCAAGAAGCCAGGGGGAGAGGAGACCTTTTCGCCCGGTGGTGAGGGTCTTCACCTCTCCTTCTGCCTGAAGTGGAGAAACTATTGCACTGCGGATATATAATTAAGGACCCATTGGAACAGGAGAACTGGATCCTGGGTCCCCCCCATCCTGGGTGTGCTCTAACCAGCAGGTTATGGAGTCATGCTCATGTGGGTGTGCTCTCCCTCTCTCTGAAACAGGAGAGACTGAGGGAGGGAGGGAGAGTCTGCAACAGGAGAGACTGAGGGAGCCCCACATGAGAAAAGCCCATTGCCCAAAGGTTAGAGCACTCAAGTGAGAGGTAGCAGATCCCTGTTCAGATCCCTTCTCTCAGGTGCGTATCCTAACCATGGGCTGTAAGTTGTGAGGGAAGGCCTATTCCACATCTTCTCCTCTTTCCCACCCCCAGCTGTTTTGGGTAAGCTCCCCTATGGGGACTCGCAGGCAGCCTCTGGGCATGCCTGCTGGATCGGGCCCCTCTGGTGAGGGAGGCGTCCACATGCCCATCTTCCCTTGGTTTGTGGATGGCTTTGGGGCTCATGCCCCTGGGCACCCACAAGGAGGCAGCCGTGTGCAGATCCAAAGGTAGAAACATAGGTGACGAGGGAACTCATACTGCAGAGACATAGGCGCCAAGCATGTTTAGGTGCCTTCAGGGTTCAGCATTGCAGTGGTCCCAAAACGGAGACTGAGGTACTTAAAACAGGGACTTGGGCACATATCTCCTTTTGTGCATTCAGCCCTCAACACTTAATCTCTCTCTGCCTCGATTCCCCATCTCTGTAATGGGGATAATGATACTTCCCTGCCTCACAGGATTGCCTTGAGAATAAAATTCATTTCTGTTGAGCAGGTGCTCAGATATTCTGAGGGTCAAATGAACAGATAGGTAGACTGGATTGTAGGGCGTTCTCTGCTCTTTAAAAAAAAGTGTGACGTGATCTTTAATGTTGGGTTTTCAGGTCTCCTCTGAAAGCTCCCCACACTCAATATATCTGCTCATAGGAATGCAGGGCTTAGTCTCCCTGACCCACACCTACAAACTAGCCCCGCAGACCTGCCCACACTGTCTGCCATCTCCATTTAAGCTAATTGGAATGGAGGCCGCTCAGCACCTTGGAGAATCAGGCTCTTGTTGAATAATTGTGATCAATCAAGATACAGCAAGTTTGGCTGATGACACAAGGGTGGACTTTGGGGCTATCCAAGAAAGAACTGTACCTTACGAGGACCTCGTTCCTTAGCTCAGTATGGGAGGCACAGGATCATAGAAATTAGAGATGGAAAAGGCCCATCTGATAACCAGCCCCTTTTCTGCCTGCTCCCCAGTTTTAAACATGCCTATGCTACAGGGCTGCCACCACTGCCCTGATGCCCTGGGGAGACTACAGCAAAGCAAAAGTGATTCCACTGCCAGGACTGTTTTCCAGATATTAATTTTCATTTGCTCAATTTCATGTACTTAGTCTTAATTAATAAGCATTGATTAACCCTGAACAATTGTTTTCCCTCCATGACACTTACATATTTCAAATACTTGCAGATGCTGTCTGTCCATCCCCATACATACCCATGTATCCATTCCCAACCATGACAATGTATCCATCCATACCCATACATATTCATCTATGCACCCATCCATCCCATCTATCTATCTATCCATCCCGATTCTTCTCCATCTATCTAGCCATCCCTCTCATGTATCCATCCAATCATCCCCCTCCATCTCCCCATCCATCCCCATTCATATCCGTCTATCCATCCATCCCCATTCATACCCATCTATCTATCTAGCCTAATTCATACCCTTCCATCCATCCATCCATCCATCCCTATTGATACCCTTCCATCCATCCATCCATCCACCCTCACACATATCTATCTATCTATCTATCTATCTATCTATCTATCCCCATACACCCCATCTAATCTATCTATCTATCTATCTATCTATCTGAGAGACAAGCTGGGTGAGGTAATATCTTTTATTGGACCAACTTATGTTGAGGTAAAAAGACTTTAACTCACCCACCTTATCTAATATCCTAGGACCAACACGGCTACAACACCACTGCAAATATCCATCTATCTAGCATTCTCCATACACCTCTCTCTCTCTCTCTCCCTCCCCTCTGTTCTTATCATGGTCCCATATTCCTGCCCTTCTGTTTAGCTGACAGTTTGCCAAGCTCCCTCACACACATCCTGCAAGGTGTTGTTCACCTTCTGAATGGCCCTGAGCCACACTGTCTCCACAGAATCCCTTGCACCTTTCTGTTGAACCTGTGATCTTACAGAAATGAACAGCAAAATGATTGACTTCGAGACCTTCCTGCCCATGCTCCAGCACATCTCCCAGACCAAAGACACGGGCACCTATGAGGACTTTGTGGAAGGCCTGCGAGTGTTTGACAAGGAGGGGAATGGAACGGTCATGGGTGCTGAACTCCGCCATGTTTTGGCGACTCTGGGTAAGGTGAAGCTTTCTTTATATCATTTCAACTCTGAGGTCTTTTCAGAACAGCTGGTAACGTACTGACTGGTGTGAATGTGCACCACTGCTCTCTGCTGGACAGAAAGACAGGTGCACTTAAGCATCTGGGATGATTATGTCACCCTCTAGCGGCAGGGATCCGAAGAACTCCTAAAATGATTCCAGCTCAGGATCATTATCTTTCAGCTCAAATGTTCACAGATTTTCTCTTTCTGAATTCTGAGTTCTCTCTTTCTAGTTCTATCATTCTATTCCCCCTGACAACTGTTAATTTATATGGTCAATTGTCCAGCTCTGGAAGACACTTTCTTTGTAAACTGTGAAAAATTCATCTGTGTCTTTGTTGTTTTTCTTTAGTTGCATAGACTTATGATGAAGGCATTCCATTTTAGGCCCATCTCTGCTACTGACACTTGAGAAGATTAAAATAGAATTTTAAATGTCAAATTCCCTTTTTACCATGTATGGTGTTTGTTTACTTTGGGGTCCAAATTAGGTGACTAGAGTCCCGATTTTAATAGGGACAGTCCCAGTATTCAGGGCTTTGTCTAATATAGGCACCTATTACCGCCCCCCACCCGCACCACCACACACACAACATTCTGATTTTTCACACGTGATATCTGGTCACCCTAGACCAAATTCAGTGCCGAGGCACGTGGGCCCATGTCAGTGAGGTCAGGGGAGCTGCGTCCATTCAAAGCATCTTGGACAAAGAAACTAGTTTGCTCAGTTTGGTCAATTTCACTTCTTTAGCTTGACATTTCCCCTTTCTGGTTCTCCTGACCCAGCACAACACTGTAATGTCTGGCTTTCAAGCCCTGGTGGGGAATATTTCAGTCCAAAGGAAAATCATTGAGTTAGCAAAAAAGTCAGTGCATTTTTATTCAGATTAAGATTTAGAATTAATGGCCTAGAGCCTCAACTGGTGTAAATCTGGGTTCAGTGGAATGACATAGATTTCCACCAGCTGGCCCAATGTGCCCAAAATCAATGATGTAAAATTGGATTAACACAGAGGTGAACCCTGACCAGTATATTTATATATTAAATGCCATCTATATATTTGGCTAAAGCTACCTGACAATTTCACTTTCCAGCTGAAAAACTGATTGGCCCCACCTTTTTAAAATCGGCACACATATCTTGTTACTGATTAGCCGATCTGAAGTGGCTTTTTACATGTATTTGGCTCTGTGTTTCGGGGGGGAAAGCTTTTCAATTCGCCATTAAGCAGTTAATAGAAAACCTGTTGAGTGTGACTTCACATCCGCGGACCCTTTAATTGCAACATACTTTCCTGGCAGTCACATACGGTGCTGAATAAGACCCTTAAGCAAACTCCATGAAAGTCACTGGAAACATTTGCATTGACTTCAAAGGACTTTTGAGCAGGGCCAAATCTTCACCCAGTGAAAACTGGTGCAGCTTCCTTGGCTTCGATGGAGCTCCAGCAGTTTATCCCAGCTGAAGATTTGGGCCGTTCTACACACCAATGGGCAGGCATGTAGCTGCTCTGTCAGCGTCCAACTTTGAAGTTTCATTGCAAAAGGTATGTGAAGCAAGGTAAAATTGCTAGACAGCTCATTGTGGGCCTGCTCCGGGTGATTATTACATACTGCTACTATGGTGTTGCTTTAAAGGTCCCAGTAAAGACCAAGGCCCCATTCACATAAAAAGAGCCAGTCCCTGCCCCAAAGAGCTTACACTCTAAAGAGACTAGACAGACACAGTCTGGGAGAAGAAATGGGCCCAGAGAGAGGAAGAAGCTCCCTTCCTCATGTGATTAGTCCATGAGTCTGACTCTGCTCTCATTTACACCAGTGTTGAAATCCAGATTGGTCCAGTGCAGTTGTGATGGGGCCGTCACGAGAATTCAGATTTTAAAGCAGATACCGTGCCAGTCTTCAGTTTCAAATGGGACGTGCTAAGGTACCAGGAAGCAGAGGGGGGAGACAAGCGGATGAGCCAGGAATGGGCTCGGGGCAGACACCATGGCAGGCTGGGGGCAGAGAGGTGCGACCGGGAGCTAGGGAATGTGCTAAATATTCAGCTCAAGTTGTGGTCACTTGGGCAGGAAAGTTCAATCCTAACCAAGGGGCAGGAGAGATTGTGCAGACTCTGCAACATTGGGGGAAGGTGACGGGAGATGGGGCCCAGCCGGGACCACCCACAGAACAAGTACAGTGCAGGGGAGAACTCCCATCCACCTGATGCAGGCAATAGGACCCATGCTCCAGCCTCCCGCTGTGTGGACAGGGGCATGCAGAGTAGCCGCCCGTGCAGAAACTGTAGCAGGGACTGGCCAGGCACTGATGATGTCATCTGGATGCTTCCTACAGGTTGGACTCTGGACAGCCTCTGCCCTGTGCTGACTGACTGTTGTCCCCAACCCACAATATCTTCACTTCAGCCTCACTCCAACTGCCCTCTGTTCTCCCCTCCTCTCTTTTCTCTTTCTTCTGCCCTGCCCTGCCCTCCTTCTTGAAGTTCTCTCCCTCCCCTTGCCTTTCCATTCTCTGATCCCCTCCTAATAGAGCAGAATTCAAAAGAAAAACTTTGACACTAACATGACAGTTGCCAACCATCACAAATTGTGTGTTATACTCCTTGTCCCCTACCCTGAATCTGTCTTGCCTATATAGACTGTAAGATGCTTGGGGCCAGGACTGTCTCTTACTCTTTCTACAGCACCTAGCACAATGCGGCTGCATTCTTAGGCAGTCCCTAGGCACTACCATAAATATATTAATCACAGTGTTGCTAACCTGAAGTACTCAAAAATCATGCCATCAGTTTAAATACATGATACTTTTTAAAAATAAACTCGATTCTTTTTATTTATCTTCTGATCTCAGAGCAATTAGGTTAACCTGGGTCATGTTCTCAGGGTTTTCCCTACAACTAGAAACTCACTTTTTTAGAAAAAACGAGAGCTGAGATTCTCACTTAATCACAGGACTCCCGGAGTTGGGGCTTTAAGAAAACTATACTCACAATTAAATTGCCAGAGTTGGAAACATTGTAAATCATAATCATAGTTAGTACTATCTAAAATAAATTCCTTCTATAAATTAGTCTCTGTTAACTCTCCAGATGGCTCCATGCTTCGCTCCCAAGAGCACCAATTCAATCAATAGTTGTTGTGTCACTGATTTCAGTGGCAGCGGGAGCAGACCCTGAAAGAGCACTGGTCCTGTGTTACATCTTGGATCCCTCCTGGATCTAAAACTCAAAGCTAAACTGAAGTGACTTTACTATGAGTTTTTCTTGAGTGAAAACTGAGGGGAAAAAGGTCCCATCGATGCCAAAGTCCCATTGATTTTAATTGATGTCATTAATTTCAATGGAAGTGAGGTGCCTAAACATATTTAAAAATCTGGACCTCAGGGCTTTAAGATTTTGCCCCTAAAGTATGGTTATACTTAGAAAAGTGATAATGTGAAAAAGATATGGTGGGGATTTCCATATTTGTTCAGAGTCACTGGCTTTTAGGTCAAATTTCCTCTGTTTGCAAGCCCTAAAGTGGATTTTTAACACTCAGTATTGCAAATTCACCTTGGGATCTCTCTCTCTCTCTCTTTTCTTATGTGGCATCCATCATCATAGCACCTGAGCACTTACTGAGTATTAAAAATACACATTACCAATACCTTATTTCATCCAGGTTCTTTTTGCTACTTAGATCTTCAGTGTGAAATGAAGCAGGTATGCGAAGTAGCATAGAATCTGTGTCTCTCCCACACCTGTATGAGAATTGCAAAGTTTGATTTCTCTACACCAAGTCAGCAGCTATGACTTGAAGACAGACAAACAGACAGATAGCAGCTAAGATGAGTAAGAAGGTGCTGTTATCGTGTAGGTAGTTTTTGGACGGTGACCACTACCCAACCCAAGTGATGGTTCGGACACTCCGAATCACTGAGCAGGAATTTGTTTTTTTCTATCCAGGTGAGAGGTTGAGTGAAGAGGAGGTTGATAAGCTAATGGCTGGCCAGGAAGATGCCAATGGTTGTATCAACTATGAAGGTATGAGGTGGTTAGGGTTGGATTCATCTCACAAGGCTTGGTGTCAGTAAGCCTGTGAAAGTTTGGCGCAATGATGGGCCTCAACCCCAAAGCTAAGATTTGAATCTGACCTTCCCCAAAGTTTGGGTGCCATGATGCAGTTCAAGTCCATTGTCCTCAATGAGATTCCTTGCACCTTCCACAGAAGCAGCTGAGGCTGGCCACTCAGATGTGGGCTAGAGAGACCATTAGAACATACTGTAGATATTATCTTAAAGATCTGTAGAGCACTTGCCACCATGGCACCTGGGGGCTTATTTACAAAGCTAAATTGTATTAATTATGCAGAACGATGAGTGGGGAATGGAATTAAATAACAACAGTGCTGAACAGATGCAGAATGCTCCTGAAGTGAAGGAAATAGATGCTAAATTATCTCTTTCTATTCATTCCAGCTTTTGTGAAGCACATCATGTCCAACTGAACACTAGGTGAGCCTCTTCCTTCTTCATCCCCCAATCCCACCATTATTTCAGTTTCCCCTGTTGGCTTTGCAGCCTCCGCCTCATCTTGGGGGTATAGGGTGGGGTCCCATGTAGCTGGAACTCAGCCGTTTTCTCCAAAGCCACTGTCAAAGATGCCCTGGACACAGGAGAATCTCCTGGCCAGCTACCCCTCCACTGTGAGGTGGTATCTCTTGTTCAGTTTGTATAATAGGGATATTTATCCCCTTCAGATCATTTTCAGGAGACCACAAGAAAAATACTATTGTGAATGAGCATTATGAAATCTGAAGCTATGTTTTCTTTTCAGTTTTGTTCAGAGTTATATTTCCAATTTGCTCTTCCATCTCTGTTCTGGAAAACAGCACTTTTGGGTGTGAGGGCATTTCAGAGATGAAATCTTTCAGGGCTAGATTTTCAGCTCTTAAATCGAGAGTTTATTACACAAGAGCCTGGAAATAATTTATCCCCATTACACTGATAATGAGAGGCCCAATTCATAACTATTTGTCTGATCACCCACCCCACCAATTTTGGGGGGTGTAAAATGAAACTCACCCTTAGTTTTGGCTTATCTCTTGCTAGATGCCATAATACAGGCCTTTGAGAAGAGGGTGAAGGGTGGCTGGGGGGAGCATGGAATCTATCTATGTCTCTGTGTTCGGCTTGGAAAACCCATCATGGCGTGAAATGCAAATGATCAGTTACAGGGGATGAAAATTTTTAGTGGACTGTAGGAGGAACTCAGCTGAGAACTTCCATTCAAGGGAGTTACACATAATTTTCCACACTGCACTGGAACTAAAGTACAATGACCCTGTGACCTACCGTCTCAAAACTATCTAGTGATTTAGGGTGCTTACATTTTTGATACTCCAATGTAAGGCACCCTAAAAGGGCCTCACTTTCAGAAGATGAGCTCTCAGCACTTTCTGAAAATCAGGCCCCTTAAGAGGTGTCCCAAGCTGAACACCTGAAAACTGAGGACCCTAAAATCACTCATCACTTTTGAAAATATAGTTAGAATCATAGAATCATAGAATCATAGAATATCAGGGTTGGAAGGGACCCTAGAAGGTCATCTAGTCCAACCCCCTGCTCAAAGCAGGACCAATTCCCAGTTGTGTAATTTAAAGGCTTTGCTGTCATAGTCTTTCCCTGTAGGGAAGTCGAGAAGAAACCGATTAGGGAGGAAGTCACGGGTGAATGAAAAATGATGTCTAAATAGAAAGAAGCAACTCAATCTTATGGCTCTAAACCCAGATCCTCAGGAGAATTACTGGCCATTCACAACACAGATTCTCCACCTTTATGGGCAGCTATCCCAGTTTTCCAGATGAAGACCTCAGTTGTTCCAGGCAGTACCTTTGGCCTCCCATTCAGTAATGTGTTCTCCAAACCACAATAGAGCTTAAGTACCCCAAACGCAAGTCTCGCCATGCCAAACTGGCTGAACTTCATTTCCAGTATTTACTGCCCATCATTTTTTTATCCTTTCCTGGAAAACATTTCTGAGTGTCTTATCCCAGTATTGATATCTTTACAGCCCATGGGAAAAGTCTGACCTAGGAACCAACCACCCCACTTATTTCGCAAAGGATCTGATAGGCCGGGAAAGAGATTGGCTTCATTTGGACCAGTTCCTTTCTCTTCAGCTTTGGTTTATTTTTCTACCCGTGCACCGACTTGGCCCAACTTTGCTTAGCTTGTGAGATCTGGCACTGTCACAACCCACGGACAGGACAGCAGAATAGTGGCTTTTTGGTTTTGTGCTCGCTGAGGCCCTAGAGCTTGAGTTCATTTCAGTAGGAGTCAAGTCCAGGTCTCCAATACTTTTGTTCCAAAATATAATTTGCCACTAAAATGTGAGTTGGCTTTAAACAGCTGCTGTTTTCTTGTCACTGTCCAGTTCTCTTTCTTTTGGGCCTTCCTCTCTCATCCCTACGTACACACTGTTTTAGCAAATGCCTGGCACATTTAAAATCCTGCTGGCCCACATCCAGAATGGACTGTGCCCACAGCTAACATAATGCATCATGATTATTATTTAGAGATAGTCCCAAATCGAATGCACGTCACCCCACCGCAGCTTTGGGAAAATTCAGATCTGGAGCCCAAATGTATAACAGACCCCTAATGGTATAACAAGCCAACTCCAAACCCTGGACATGAATCCATTCGAGTTTTGTGGAGGTTTGGATCTGAATTTGAATTAGGAGCGTGGCTCTGTTTAATAGGTCAAACCAAAGCATCAGGCCTGAACATCCCAAGCACTGAGGGAAGCACGGATCTGGAGCCACATATAGCAGCTTAAGCTCATCTGTGTTCTTCTTGTTTATGATCATGGGTTATCACCACTAGTTTGCCTGTTTGCATCTTTATTCTCAACCACAGACTGGTCCCTCCACTTACTCTCCAACCGGCTGCTGCAAACTCTTGATAATAAAGTATAATTTGTTACATCCTCTGCTAGTGAATCCTCAGTTTATTTTGTTAGATCTCTGGGCCAAGTGCTTTTCTGGATCTCAGCCAGCTCTTCTTGCTTCACATTCAGCCTGGCCGTAGGGAAGCATTCCCAGATTTGCTGCTCTTTTCACTTCTTACGCTAATAACTCAGAAAAGGTACAAGGCACAGGCGATGCTGTTCCCTCTCTGTGGGATGGAAACTGTGGTCAGATAAGAGTAATGAGTGCAATATAAGAAACAAGATAGGGAGACAGTATGGTCTAGAGGATAGGACACTGGGCTATAACTCACTGTTCCTGGCTTTGCCACTGGGTTGCCATATGTCCTTGGGAAAATCACTTTGCCTCTTTGTTCTTCTATTCCCTTTTCTGTGTTTTTATGTAAGACCCTTAGCTCATCAGGGCAGGGACTGTCTTTCACTTTGTACAGTGCCTAGCACAGTGGGACCCCAATCTCTGGCAATTACTGCAATATAAATAATAACATTGGAGTGAGAATCAGTTTGATGTTTCATTATGGATAATCCGAGTGCAGATCCAAGAGAAACTGGAGCTGCTTGGGGCTTTGCTTTTTGCTGTTTTTTTTCCCTCCTCGTGCTTAAAAATAACTTTGTTTTTAGGACAAGACAGATTCCGATGAACCCCCGATGCTGGCCTTGGATTTTGACGTAACGGAATGTCTCTTCATTTGCCAGCCCAGATTCCTGTTACAAAGCTACAAAATGTCCCAGCCCTGAAGTTATTTGGATAATTTTTTTTTTCATGGGAGGATGGGTGGCCTTTACAGAGATGTGGCAATCAGAAGGAACTGGGGTCTGAATTTTGAGTACCTGGGCACTCTCATTGCTCTCTGATACCTAAGATAAAACAGCGACTTGAATCATATAGGCTGGGGGGAAGGATATTTCACTTATTTCATACCAAAAAAGAACTGGAAGATCTGAAATGTAGCAGAGATTTTTTTCCCCCTAACACAACTGGATCCATCTCTTTGCATTTGTTGCGTCCGGAGGAATTTGAGGCTTCAAAGTTAGCTCAGAAGTAAGCTGGAATAGGTGGAATTAACACTGATTAGTGTAAAGATCTCTCTGGTGGGCAGGAAATATTGTCTGGGGGTGTACTGGACCTTGAGGGAAAGTGGGGGAGGGATATGCGTAATACCCACCAATGCGCCAACAAATGCAACCTAATGCACCAGCTTCTGGGATATAGAAGGTGCAAGTTTAGTTTCAACCTGAAAAAAAACCCTTTTCTGGCATGAAGTGTGGGCATTTTAACTTGTTTTTGTGTCAGTTAAAAGGTGTCACAAAAAAAGTCCACCTTGTCCATAAAGGTCTCTTCCAGGTCAACAGCCTGAATGATGGAGTAAGTGAAATGTCTGTCCCGGTTCAGATTGGAGAATGTTCTAATATACATGCCTATTGTTACTGTAGCTTTTCTCATTAAAGCATTCTTTTCTCATTTGGGGGGAGTCTTTGTTCCTTGTTTGCTGCATTTTGTGTGTGTGTGTGTGTGTGTGTGTGATTAGAGAGGGGCCATAGCTAAAGCCACAAGTCTGAACTGCAGATGGGGGTCTCAATTTCTCATTGCTGTGATGGGCATAACAAAATCATGGTTCCAACCCTTCTGTAATGTGGTGGTTTGAGATGCATTCCAAATCTGATGGCAGGGCATTTGGATTCTGTGTTCGTACATTTGAGAGCTTAATTCCTTCTACTGCAGGAATCCCTGGGTGAATTTCTATGGCCTGTGTTATGCAGGAATGCAGAGTCCATGATCATGGTGGTTTCTTCTGGCCTTAAAACCTATGGCTCTATTGAGCCAGTTTGTACAGTTTCAAGATGCAAACTTGGATCTGAATCTCGAGCTGAGATTCTGGGTAGGTCCAACTGAATAGATAAAACTCAGCCATTTTCTCCAAGGGGAGACAAAACATCACTTAGATGCCTTCTAGACAAGTCCTCAAAATGATTTAGGTCACAATGAAATTTGCTACGCACTTCTATATATAAAATATTTTGCAAACACTTGCTACCATGCAACTGATAGAACCTTGGCGGCACTGACTTGAAGCTGCGTACATAGCAACCCCTATCTACCCAGTTACCTTCTTAAATGCCAATCTGCTTACAGGTTGTGATGGACAGGCCTGGGTTCTTCTGGATCCTGCCACCCACTCATCAATATGTAACTTCTTTATTCTCTTTCCATAGGAAGTTATTTGGCAGTGCCTCTCTCCCCTCCTTGCTCCTTCCTGGCACCTACAATATATTGAACACAGTCATTATATTAAACAGGAGAGAAATATAACCTAACAGGGTAGAACATTATTCTCAGGGTCACCGGTGCCCACGCTCATACTACCTGTGATGTTTCCCAGTCATGTGACCTGATATAACCAATGAAAATGAGTATCCCATTGGTACACAAACTTTGTAGGGGCCCTCGATGACTTGTGACCATGATATCTTCTGTGCAGCAGCAGTTAGCAATGTGGCTGACTGGACTCGGTACAGCCCAAAAGACTCACAAGTGGGATAAGGTGGTAAGTCACTCTGCAGGTTTAATGGGCAGCAGATAACAAAATCCCCAAACCCTGACCCCTTGGCTTGAGGACACAGTTCAGGGAGTAGAGGGTCCCCCAAACAATTTCCCTGACTAGCTAACTAAAAGATAGTGACTCATAATTATGTGAATGAGCCTCAGGTTCAGAGAGGACTCTGGACTCCTCAGTCACTGCAGAGGGGCTGCTGACTGCTGCTGGCAGGCGTCCTTTTCATACAGGAATCAGGAGGCTCCTGGCCCCAGGACTTCCCCTCACCACAGGGCGCTGAGCTCAAGGTGCAGATTACAAAACTATACTGAAATCCAAACTTTGATCTCCTACCCCAGTGTGAAGACACATTCAACTGACTCCGGGAGTTGGGACTTTAAGAAAACCCCAAACATCAGGAGTCTCACAATAAAACCATGAGGGCGGGTAACACTGCAGGAAAGGACCGAGGGTCATTGGCAGAACTGGGTGAGAGCCCAGGACTAGACGACCAAAGAGCATCGCTCGTTAGGAGTCATGAGCACCAGCAGAGCTGGGCCCTTAAAGAGGGATTGGGTCCAGCCCACTGTGGCTCATGAATAGACTTTTAAGGGGCCTGCTAGGGCAGTGTTTTTCAAAGTACGGGTCACGAGCCAGTACTGGGTCTTGGAATGTCAGACACTGGGTCGTCTTGCTGATTCAAATCATAACAATCGTTGCCGCGCAGCAGGGACCTGGAGAGGAGATTGGTAGGGGGTGGGTGGGAACTGGGAAGGGGAACAAGTTGGGGCTTGCAGGGCTGCTGTGGGCCTCTCCCCTGGCCCTGGAGCATGTTGCTGCCAGCGGGGAGAGAGGGACCCTTCCCCTAGAGCTCCGTGCATAGGGAGAGAGAGGCCCTTCCCCAGGACTAGCTGCTGCCAGCTGGGAGAGGGCTTGGGGGAGTCCTCTGGCCCCAGCCCTAGGGCAGCCTGCCTGCACCCCAAACTCCTCATCCCTGGCCCCACCCCAGAGCCCTCACCCCCTGCATCCCAACCCTCTGCCTCAGCCCTGAGCCACCTCCTGCACCCTGCACCCCTCATCCCCAGCTCCACCCTAGAGCCCTCAGCCCCAGACAGACCCACTGGATCAGGCCCCTCAGGCGGGTTCAACGCAAAACAGCTGGGCCGGGGGAAGGGGAAGAGCTCCCTTGTAACCTTTAGCCCACTGGTTGGTACTCATCTGGGGTGGGAGACCCTCACCTGGGGGTGGGAGACCCTCTCCCATTCAAGTCCCCTCTTCACCTCAGGGGAGGATTGAACTGGGATCTACCACCTCAGAGGTAAGTGCTCTAAACCCTGGGATAGTCTCCCATGGAGTCCGCCCCAGTCTCTCCTACTGCAGCTGGTCCATTTTAATTAAGTAACTGAATAATTAAATATTAATTGGGCCAGAGAAGGAGTCAGAATGACTCTGGAGCCTGGTGGTTAGGGACTCACGCGAGAAGTAGCATGGCCCTGTTCAAATCCCGGCGGGACTTGAGCTGGGGGACATGGCAAACGCCCTACCCAAGTACTCTGACCATTGGCTACAGGTTATAAGGGAAGTGGTCCTCCAACCCCCCTGCTGCTTTGTGTGAACTCTCCTGAAGGACCGGCAGGGTGAGCGCCCTCCAGGCACGCTGACTGGATCACCCCCGAACGCCCATCTTCCCGCTGGTTTGTGGATCGTAAGCAGACCTCGGCACCTCCCAGCAGGCCGGACTTAGGTGCCGAACTCTGAGAGCGGGGTGGCGCCCCCCTCTGGTGGGCTTTTCCCATTGACTAGCTTGGGCACCTCCCCACCTCGCGTCCCTGTAATTTTCTAGGCGCCTGTAGCGGGGTGGCTACCCTGCTCCTAAAATAGAAGGGGTTAAAAGCAGCCCTGGAGAGGGCTGTGGCTGGGGATGGCTGATTGGGGAAGCAGCCGCAGCTGGGCCACGTCCCAATCAGGCCCCAGCTGGCCTGTACGAAAAGGCTGTGAGCCAGCGGGCCAGGAGTCTCTCGCCAGGCCGGGAGAGAGCAGGGCCTGCCCGCCCGCCCGCCCGGGTACTGAGGGTGGTGCCGTGCTGGGGAAGGAGCAGGCTGAGCGGGGGAGGTACTGGGAGGCGGAGGAAGGCAGCCGGTCCGAACCCCCTTGCCTAGATGAGTGGCCTTTAGACAGCAGTCTGCCCCAGGGCGCGGGGGCTTGGTGATGACTGGCAGGAGCCCAGACTGAGGCAAGGTGGGGATAGTGGGTGGGGGGTTCCCCAGGAAGGGGAGACCCAGAGGCAGCGTGGGGGGAGGGTGGTGCTGCCAGGGGGCAGCACCCAGAGAAAGGGGCACCGGGGTCTGTGAGGGACACGTGGGGGGTGGGTGAAGGGGGGGCAGAGCCGTGCGGATCACCGGCCTGCAGAGGGCGCGCCGCGCTGGAAAGAGCTGATTCCCCCTCGACCAGCAGGAGGCGCCGCAGGGGTGCATTGCAAACGTAGGGCCACACGTGCCCGCTTCACCCACTTCAACACAGCGACCGCGAGGAGCGCGGGAGGCGGCCCAGGGCCGAAAAGTCCCGCCCAGGGCACGGCGACGGAGGGAAGGGGGGCCGGCTGCCGCAGGGCTCTCGGGAGGGGCGGAAGGAGGTGAAGCGGCGGGACAGGGTGAGGGGGCCAGGCCGAACCGGCGGGCGCTGTGCCGGGGGAGGTGCTTCGGCGGAGCGATTTGTGGGCCCGGGGCCGGCGTGGCGGGCGGTGCCGCGCTGAGGCGACTGGGCGGGACGGCGGGCGCGGGCTGGGGGTTCGCCGCGTGCTCAGCCCGTGCTCGGCTTGTCCCGGGACGTGCCGTTACGGCCCCTGGCCGTCATGAGCGCAAGAGTCACTCACAAGAATAAACAAATAATACCCCCACACACACACACACAAATAATACCCCCCCCACACACACACACAAATAATACCCCCCCCCACACACATACAAATAATACCCCCCACACACACAAATAATACCCCCCCACACACACAAATAATACCCCCCCACACACACCATACCCCCACACACACACAAATAATACCCCCCCCACACACACACCAAATAATACCCCCCACACACACACACAAATAATACCCCCCCCCACACACACACACACAAATAATACCCCCCACACACACACACAAATAATACCCCCCCACACACACAAATAATACCCCCCCTCACACACACACACAAATAATACCCCCCCACACACACAAATAATACCCCCCCCACACACACACACACACACCCCCGCTTCAGAAAACGACATCCTCGCTGGGGAACGTTGCTTTTTTTTTTTTTTTTCCTTCCTAAAATGGGGCCAGGAGACTCGCCAAGTTTCTCGCAGATCTTTTCATAGCAGGAGCCTCTGGCTCAGGGCGAGGCTTGGGAGCGGCGTTGGTGGCTTCACCTCCGCTGCGGCCAAGCGGCTCATGGCGCGGGCCGGGGCCGGGGGCCGTGGGACGGCCCCGCACGCCCAGGCTGCCCCGGGGTGTAGCCACCCCGCTGGGCCGGGCTGTGTGCGCCCCCCCCCCAGCACCCCGGCACCCCGCCTTGCCAGGCGGCCTGCGGAAGACTCGGCGCCGGGCGGGCGGCTGGTTTCCAGGGCGCATTGGGCGCCCCTGGCTGGTAACTGTGGCCCTGGGGAAACACGGTTTCATGGACCGTGTGGCAACCGCGAGATTAGCCCGATGCTGTGATGCCGACCCTGCGGCCGCTCGTGGGGGGGTAAGGGGGCTGATCCCTTCCCACCTCTCCTTGTCTTATCCTGGGGGGCACGGGGGGGGGGGCTCACTGCTGGCTAGGGTGACAAACGCCCCCTGCACGTGCGGCGAAAGCCAGCTCGCTGCCGAGACGAGCCACGTGGCACCAGCCGCGCCGGCATTCCGTAAGCCTCAGCTTTCAGC